TTCCTCAAAGCCGGATTGCAAAAAGGCCATGGTGAAATAACATATTTTTTGTCCACTCATGGACAATATAAGGAAGTGCCTTTGGCGAAAGTCGTGATATTGTCTAGTGCGTTCGGTGTCTTGGGCCTCAAATCGTTGCACCTTCACATTGCTGCTGCTATGCGTTTAACACTCTAAATCGCTGTTAAAATTGGTACCTACAGCATAAGAAAAATCCATATTTTACCTGGAGCAGCTATTGGAAATGAATGACCACACAAGGAAGAACCAAAGGATTCTTGCCATACAGTTTCACACTGATCCTTGCCCGAGATCCAGCACGACGACTTGAGAGTTTCCGGTTTTAGAGCCTAACCGTGCTAACGCTTTCCTTTTGTTTTCACTTTGGTAGATTCCAAACAGTTGACGGAGGGAAAGCGCGAAGAATTGCTGGAAAAAATGCTCGCAAACGCGGAATGGATCGCCTACGGCATCCACAACATTTCGCCAATGGAAATAACTGAGAAAATGCTAAGCAGGTAGGTGAGGTTGTCTCCTATCACCTCCCCCTTCCTCCCCCACTAAACTAAACAGAGTTCCACATCAGTGATTCCATTTGCATACGTCCTTACCTAACAGTATAGGCAACCCGTATCTGCTACTGCTCTCTGATTATGTCTCTGATGAGGAATCCGCGACGGATCTCGAAACGTCAGGCGAATGAAAGTATTGTCCCAGCGATCAAATTGTCTTCTTCTCAGTATAGGCAATTTACTGCTTTATACACCCTAGTCTTTACAACCTTGGGTGGCGGGTTGCTGGACTATGCGGAGGAGGTATAGTGTCGTTCATATAATCGCATCCACCGCAAGTAAACAACGGTAACGACAAAAAGGACTGGCAACATGAATAATGACAATAAAATGAACCGGATTTTATGCACCGGTAACGCTGAGCAATTCCTCCCTACTTGCCCACACCTGCTTCGGTCCAATCTCTCTTCGTATGTACTTCTCGGTGCAGAGTAAGAAGCAATTTACACTCCTGGTAGCCCAATTACCACAATCAACCGTGAATTCTCCTTCCAACCCTCCCACTGTTGTATAGGATAGACCTACTCGGAAATCACCTTCCAAAGCGTGTAATCCGCTGCTCAGATCAGAATCACAATTTACTAAAACAGTTCTCGCTGGTTACCACGGCCAAGTTACTTTAATCGCTTACTGTTTATCTCCTCGCTACCTGAATGCTCCTGGCATTTTGTCTGATCAGATAAGCATTTTATATCTCCCGGGGATACAGTAACTCATATTTTTGCTGACAGGTTTCCTAGCCACTTAAACGCATACATAGACGTTTGTATTATCTTGTATTTCTGACTTTGCATCAGCCTTCTTAAAAAAATTTTTTGTTATCCACCTTGCCACTAAGAATATATATGGCTGAAGTTAGACAGCTCCCCCCTCCCATCCTCAGTCCGCCAAGATTGGCTTTCTTCGCGTAGTCCCTTACACCATAAATTGGCATCTAATGAACTTGTTATTGTATAATTAGGCAAACAGACCCGAATCGTTACTCTGCAGACTGTGTCCATATTTTTTCAGCATTCTTGCCAGTCCCGCAATTTATTTTGACGGTAAAGGTAACTTATATGGTCCCCTAAACAGGACACGAGGATAGGAACGCCCCGCTCAATTAATGCAGACTGTTCTGCGCATGATTCCGGGGTGGGAAAATATTCCGCGTTCGAACCCTTTTATTTGCCCTATCATTAACCTAAACCGTAGCCGTAATCTTAGCCTTAACCGAAACCCTAACCATGCAGTTAATCGTAATGCTAACTTACCTTAACGTTAACCATATATCTAACCCTAATTCCCCTGGAATTTGGCACAAACTTGTATTCCGAGCGGTTCCTGTTCCCACGTCCCGTTTACAGGGCCAGATAAGTCACCCTTGCTGATGAATGTTGGGAATGCGAGATTCCCTGTGGTAAATATTTATATCAAATTTCAGTTACCGTGTTCCATCCCTGCCTGTTTGTCTCTTCAGCACCAAAATCAGTCTCAACGTGATCTCACAGAATGCAGCCATTGGATTGATTAATTCGGCTCTCGATCAAGGTGTCAATTTGAAAGAGGTAAGTGCACTCTATTTGTCATCGTTGCTGTCGTAACACCTCCTGTTCGAGGATTTTACCAGTAACACTTTCCTTATTTCAGGTCTACGTAGATACAGTGGGCAAGGCTGACATATATCAGGCCTACCTGCAGTCGCTTTTCCCAAAAATCAAGATCACCGTGGAAAGTAAAGCCGATGACACCTATCCAATCGTCAGTGCTGCCAGTATCTTCGCCAAGGTGAGTGCTCAAAACATGTATTGCCGCCTACACCTTCCTTGTTGCATAATTCCACTTTTCATTCTCCGCCTCTCCACCCTGTTCTCTTTCACTTTCTAGGTAACTCGTGATCGACTCTTGGCGCGGTGGCCCAAAGCCGGTCGTGGCAGTATTCCTCCTAACACCCCGCTCGGTTCGGGATATCCAGGCGGTAGGTCAATTCGCTTCCTTCCTAATGATTCGTCTAATATTTGGTGACCTTTTTGGGTTCCCTTCTAGATTGAAGTTTATTCGTCTTGCTGGTCTTATCATTACTTCCTCACCTAACCCTCCCATATGTAGGACATATTTGTTAGGTTATTTTCCTACGGACAATGATAGCACCTAACGACTAATTCTTTAAAGCAAAGGCATGTGTCATGTTCTTCTGCCTTTTAGGGCCGATTTCTTATGAGAGTGATTCACTATTCGACAGTGTAACGGTCCTATCTGACGAAATGGGATAGTGGCTTACATTTAGATTACTTTTAATATAGTAGACTTGTGTTGCATCTACCGCACTCTCGCTTTCCAAACCCATCTGTGCCCGGTATCAAGAATGAGCCAAGCAAACCCGAGATGGTATATGTTGCATGTGGCTGGCGTGGCATGAGCCTGCACCCGACCTATTCCAATGCGCTAGCTGCCTTGGCTTGCATGGCTGCCTCCTGATGAGATAACCCGGTCCTGTGTCAACCTGCACGCTTTTCTGAATTTGTGCAGTTACTCACCTTCACTGACGCGGTTTCTAAGATTCCCTTTTCCGTTTAAGCCTGGTTCGCGTACAGTTGCGGACCAGCATGCGTATCGTACACCTAGACATTTCCAAAACTTGGTTGGCCACCTCGCCTGTGATCGTCATTCTGTTCTTGTATTTTGACTGGAACTCAGTAGATATAAGAAGAGTGGTAGTGAAGACGATGCAGCGCAAGTTCACCTCTCTGCAAGCAGCTTTGCACCTAAGTCACCATTGCGCTCGCTTCGAGCTAGTTGTGCTCCTCGTCGCATGCAATGGACAACCCCATTTTAGCCTATGACCCGGCCCTGTACCTAGAATTCACGCAAACCTAATGCTTGCTCGATTGTTGTCCCCGGCACTACTACGGGAGAGCACGAGAACACGCTCGGCCACGGAAAACTCTATCTAAATGCTGCAAGTCATTATCACCGAAAAGCTGCCTGCATTTATAGCCTCCCGTTGCGATTGGTTTCGTGCTGTCCAATCCACGTGAGGGGAAAGTTTCAGAA